GTTAGCATGTATCGAGAACGAGAAGGAATGTGTGGCTTAGAATTTGTATTTTGTATCAGCAGTACATGATACTCGAAGAGGTGGCACCACAAAGTTGGCCGTTGAGCGTTACTCCTGTTACAGAGGATTCTCTGAATGTTAAAGTTAGCATGTGTCGAGAATGAGAAGGAATGTGTGGCTTGAAATTTGGATTTTGTATCAGGAGTGCATGATACTCGAAGAGGTGGCACGACAATGTCGGCGGCTGAGTGTTACTCCTGATACAGAGGATTCTCTGAATGTTAAAGTTAGCATGTGTCGAGAACGAGAAGGTATGTGTGGCTTAAAATTTGTATTTTGTATCAGGAGTACATGATACTCGAAGAGGTGGCACGACAAAGTCGGCCGTTGAGCGTTACTCCTGATACAGAGGATTCTCTGAATATTAAAGTTAGCATGTGTCGAGAACGAGAAGGAATGTGTTGCGCAAAATTTGTATTTTGTATCTGGAGTACATGATACTCGATAAGGTTGCACGACAAAGTCAGCCGTTGAGCGTTACTCCTGATACAGAAGATTCTCTGAATGTTAAAGTTAGCATGTGTCGAGTGCGAGGAGGAATGTGTGGCTTAAAATTTGGATTCGCACGACAATAGGTTTCCTAATGCAAAATTCGTATTTTCGGGGGCGAATTTCTTCTTGTCCACAAGTTATTGCTTATCTATGCTAATACTAATTATTTGTTATGTGAGTGGTTTCTGCATTGTATTATTAGGATATTGGAAAATCTACGATTCTAATTAGGAGGATGGTATCATAGGTATTTTAATTATTTTCATTTGCAATGGAAAGTTTGATGCATTTATTTTTAATGACTTGACGATCGCTGTGAATTGTATAATTTTGTTATTGCTATCCTTGACCTTTACTGTTGTGTTCTTTGTTATTTTCTTTGATTTTAGAATTGTCTCTTCCTAGATATTTCAGCAACGGTGTGCGTCTTCTTCGATTCCCATAGTACCCGAGGCGATTATTCTTTTTGGAAGTTCGAACGAAAATTTTCTGGCATAGGTCATTGACAATATGCTCCGTTATATAATATCGTTCACAAAAAGGCCTATGTTTGCCAAAACAGTCGAAGGCAATACGTGTGTCAGCGGTTTCTTGTGTCGTTAGGATCTCCTTACGGGCGTTCTTTATCCATCGAGTGTAATCGAAGCTCGGCGATTCCAATCTGGCAGGAGGGACCGGCAGCTTCGCCTGTGTATAAATCGTCGTAACTGTCGTGCAAACAGCGGCTGGTTGTTAGTTAACTCGCGTCCATGCTATTGTTCCGCGAAAATTGGCATTCGCGGCGCCGCAACGGCTGGCTTTCCGCTCGCCGCGATAGCGTCAGTGGTTACCATTATTCAGGCGCTCTAGTGAAAGCGAATTGTTAAACAGCGTCTCCACGTTGACCCCGGCGGTTTAAGGAGATTTTCGAGAATGGTCGTGCGGCCTCCATTCGTTAATTCGATTACGCTCGGTGATTTAGCTTAATTGAATGAGGCACGTGGATGTGCAAGGTGAAACAGTGACACTTGATGTGCTTGTAGAAACAGACAGAAGTACTGAAGTGATATTGATTTTGCATTATGACGAATGAAAAATTCATTTGGAGTATAATTTGAGACTCTGTTTGATCGGAATTCGATCGATGTTTCAAAGAAAAATCGTTCCCGTTGCAATTGAACGTAATTGAATGTAATGTTAATGTTTTGAATCATCGAACAGATGCAAGAATTATTTATTTAACTTTTTGCGGACAGATATTTTGTTGATTGTAATCTCCAACGAGAAGGACGTCGCAAAAGATTATGAAATTAATAATTTATTTAATATAATGGAAAGTATCAGGAATGTGTAAAAATATATCGAATATGAGAAACAATCTAGCTAGCGTAGTTCGTGAAAGGTTAATTTCGTCTCATTATTTATTTCTAATAATTTATAATAAAAATGATATATATTATTATTATCAATGTTAAATATCACATACATTATAGAGTAATATATTTTATAAAGTATTCTGAATTTTATTACTAATCAGTGTCGCAGAGAACATAAAATACAAATCAGAACTAAATATCTTAATATATATTAATATTATTAATTTGACAAATTCTCTCTAGTCATCTTTGATCCGATGACAGTTAAACGTAATTTCTAAGAAATCAAATTTTTCTAAGTCGCCGCTTCGAGGAAAGGAACACCTTCGCAACAAAGGAAACATCGGGAAAAGATCAAAATCCGAACTGCCTCGCTGAAACTTCTCCAGAAACGAAAGGTAACATTCATCCTTCAACAACCGCTCTTCATCCCGTCTGAGAATCCCAGGAGACAATCGAGACATCGGCAGGAGCCGAACGTCAAAAGCGACCGAGGAAATCCTTTCTCCACACGGCTGTGATGGCGAACCCTTCCGACCTATCGTGAAAACGCGAAACTCTCCTTTGATCCGCCGACGAAAACTCAGCTCGGAAGAAACTCGCCAGCCGCGTTAATCACCGATGCGCCCCAGACCGAAGTTGGCTCGCCGGCGAGCAAACCCACGGAAACGAAGGAAATTATACCGCGAGAGAGGCTGGCTGGTCTCGTGAATTTTCCAGCCCTTCCTATCGACGCGCCGGTAGACCGTTCGACGGAATTTTCACGGAATGACGATTGTGTTCGGCAGTTGAACGACCCTCGCTCACACACGCCCAAGTCGTTCGTCGCGCTCGCGAACGAAGGAGAACGCGTTGAAAAGGTGTTCGCCGAAGAGGAACGCGTGCGAACTTGCGCTGGCCTGGTGAAAAGAAGCGTGGGGACGGGCCTTTGTGCGGATTCCGCCTGGCAGAACTGCTTCCCCGCGCGTGTCTTCTTCCGGCGCGGCGGCGACCTCATTGATCCGAGTTCGAAGTTGCGGAGAATGGAAAGGGCGATGAAAAAGGGGCTGTGGTGGGGGACGGGCGCGAGGATTATCCGCGAATTAGAGTCGAAAAGGTGGAGATTCATCGGGAGGATAATGAGTTATGTTCTTTCGGTGAGTTATGCTACTTCTTGGCGTCTTTGGATTTATACTCGGCAAGTCTCGGGAACTCCGGAGCTGAGATTTACTCCGGCGGTACTTTCGGAATTTTTATTCCGATATCCTGTCGAGTATTCTTATTTTCCTTTTTTTTTTTTTTTTTCGTTGATATTATTATTATTATTATAGGGTGAATCAGGTATGTGCGGGTCGAATGTCAATTTTCAGTTTTTTTCTTTTAGCGTGGTATGTTGCATATTGATGACAAACGTCATCCTGTTCGTTTTTGTTTGAAAGGCAAAGTAAGTTATCGGTGTCAAAAATGTTCCGCTTGTCCTTTAAATTATAACTTACCGACGTCTTGCCAGAGTATACCAAAAAGTAATGACTATTTTGCAATACAGTGTGTTAATATATTGTTTAGACGTTACAGTTATATTTTTATAATTAGATGTTATCGTATCATTATAAAAAAAAAAACAAGTGAATTCGCTTTTGCCATCCATCGCAAAATTGTACGCAATAATTGGTAAATATGTTTATAAAGAATCATGCCAATTGAATACAAAGGATTATTTAATGTAATATGCTGTAACAATTCTTTAGAAAAAAAAGTGGGTCATTAGTTTCCCATGTTTCGTCCTACAGTTTCTTTGATTTGACATGCGCACGAAAAGCAAAGGAAATTTATATTTGCTTGAGAAGAACGATGGAAAATTTAAAAGAAAAGGAAAAAAAATAGAAGGAAGTAAAAAAGAAAAGGATGAGGGAACGAAGAAACGAGAGTAGTCCGACGTGGTCGCGATTCACAAGCGGAAGCAGGCGACTTAGTGAACCGGTCAGAGAAGGGGAGGTTGGCGAGGGTGAAACGGACGCGTCGAAGCAGAAATGGCGACGTATTTAATAGTAAAGGGGCGAGGGGGCAGCGTGCTAGGTTGGGATAGAGTTCGGGGCCACACAGGCGCGGAAATCTATTGCAAAATAATAAGTTATCTGCCGGCGACTTTTGCCGACGTGTCGTCCGCGGCTGCTTTCTCCCCGAGGTTACCTCATTATTTCTAACTGATGACGCTATAATTCAGCTTCTCACGACGTACAAGAAAATGGACTTCCCAGCCTCGTCTTGCGCTTCGCTTGGAACCTCTAACTCTCCGTCTCCTTCCCTTACTTCTTCGTTCAACGCGCGTTAAAAGAGAGAGAGAGAGAGAGAGAGAGAGAGAGAGCGACAACGGCGCACAGTGTCTGGCCTTGCTATTCCGTCCAATTAAATGCCTAATCAATTACCCGGCCCGGTGGTGGGACGAGTTCACGCCCTTTCTTGCTCGTAGCTGCCGAAACACGTTCTCCTTGTCCCGTCAGCCACCCTACCGCGAAGAAATTACCAAGGTATCAAGGGGATCACCCCATGGCCGCCACCGCCTCCCAGTGTTTCTCACAGCCTCGATAATTGGCGCCTACCAGCTTGCTCGGAATTCGTGGCGAGGCCTGGATTCGTGTCGCGAACCTGTGAAACAAGAGAGACGTCGTCATTGTCGTCGTCGTCGTCTGCCCTCTTTCGCGTAAAACGTCAGAGATTGCCTCTGGGAGTTCCCTACTCGTTCCTCGGAATATTTATGCCCGCGGGTTATTTAATTGCGGCCCGGCGATTCGCTCGATTAAGTTTGATTTATTATATCGGGATGATGTAGCCACGGTGTGTGATTAATTGAGCAACTTCGCCGCTACGATCCCTTAATCCGGTCTTTATGTTTCAATTCGCGTGAAAAGAATCTGCGACGTTCAAACATCGAGGATGTTGACGTTGAAATCGAGAAATTACCAATGTACTGTCAATGAGAATTCTTTTGCACTTTGTTTGAAACTTGGAAGTTTTCTGTGAACGCGGTAAAATTGCAGAGAAAGATTGAATTATGTGCAGAGTACACGGTTTGATTATGGTCTTGTACTTGCAAGAATAAGGGATACACCTTTAATTAAGTAGTATGTGTTTTCGATTTATAGTACTTTAAAATAAACATAAAGATAATACTTATTTTTATAAATGAGTATTAAAATATATACTGTTTATGTTTTTTATGCATATGACATGTATATAAATAAGTAAAAAGACAATATTTGTTTTTACAATTATATTGTATAAGTAGTAATACTTAGAAATAAAACCTAAAAAATCAATCTCAATATGTTCAAATCATCAAATTGACACTTGAAATTTATAAAGAAAAATTTATTTTAAAAAATTCGAATCTACGTCTGCAAATACTTACGAAAAGAGGAACCTATAGCATTCAAATGTTTTTTTCAATAACTCTCTCTCTCTCTCTCTCTCTCTATATATATATATATATATATATATATATATATATATATATAAAATATATAATATTATATATTATAAAAATAAATATTATAAAATATATATATATAGAAATATATATAAAAGTTATATTTTATTTATATTTTATATTTTATATATCTATCTATCTATATATATATCTATAGATAGATAGATAGATAAAAGTTATATTTTATTTATATTTTATTTATATTTTATATATCTATATATAATCGATAGATAGATAGATATAGATAGATAGATAGATAGTTTGATAAGTAATCGATAATTTAATAAATGAAATATAATCAACCAGCAATTTATAATAAACAGAGGAATCGGTGCGTAATTTCGAATACTCTTGACGAACAAAGAAAGTCGAGTCTATCCATACTAATCCATATTATACCCAACGAATAAAGGAACCCAAACGAAATATTCATCCGAATGTTCCATTACTCCGCTGTGCTCCGTCGTTCTCGATTCGAGAAACTGGGGAACACTGGCGTTAGCGAGAACCAGACGAGAATTACACGTGATTTCACAGATCTGACGAACTCGTCCAACGTTTTCGTTTCACTGATGGTGTACTAATTAGAAGGTCCCGGTCGAGGGAAGAGCGTGTTTCCCGGTGGTGGAAAAGACCGAAGATGAGAGCCACAGAGTTGAAGATAGAGTCGCTCGTGGGAGGTAATTTAGGGATCGGGGGGTGGAAGGGGAAATTTAGTAAAGCCTTGACCGTGCACAGAGCTCATCTGCCGGTCTTACGAGCCCGGCGCGAAATTAACGCTTTGTGCCGCGGCCTCGAAACTGCAAAACACCGCGAAGTAACGCCGCCTGTATATAGAGGGCCGCTTCATTAACTTCGTTACAAAAGAACTCTTCCCTTTTTGCCTCTTACGCGGCCTGTTCCGAGAGCCGGTTGTATTCTTGGCGCCAATGTTGTAACTCTTTTTTCGTTGTAACTCGCTTTCCATCCTGAACGTCGCTTTCGCGAGAACGGTCCCGTCAGAAATAGAGAGAGAGAGAGAGAGCATTGAAAATTGAGAGAACGGTAACGACAATAACGTTTCTCTGCGAGAAATTTTTACGGGTGAGTTTCTTTTTCTTTTTCTTTTTTTTTTTTACGTTAGGAAAATAATCGTAAGATGAGGGGATCGTGGGATGAATTTGAAAGAGAAACGTAAACGGATATTCTTTTTCAGAGAGACTTCGTTATTTCGGAATGCGCTGGTAAATTTGGGGACGTACGGACGAAACGGACGAATGTTTGGAATTTTAAGAGAAATTACGGTTGTATGAATTTCCGTGGTAAACAACGACGGGGACAAGAGGAAATAAATTTCGAGAATTTTGAGAAATGTTGGCGAAACATCGGATGATAAATTTGAAAATTTTGAGGGAAAGTGTAGCTGGTTATTTACACGTGATAAATAATTTGAAAAGGCGCGATATTAAATTTATAAATGGGAGTAATTTATGAAACGCTTTCATTATAATATTGAACGTCACAATATTTAATATGAATTCATGCCTTGCGCAGTCTGTTTTATTAATATTTTGTCATGAATATTTAATCATTTGTTTAATATAAATTACAAATTAATATTAATTTGTCATTATAAATTAAATTGTTTGACAAAGTAATAGATACACGCGTGTGTCTAGAGCGATTGCTATTTACGATACGTTGATTGGCTTGCAAAATTATATATGTCGCAATATTTAAGGAACGTACGCGTTCAAGAAGCAAAGAATGTGAAAACAAGTATCCAAGTAAACTGATTGATAGCCTGAATTCGTGATTGTCTGACCAGTGACGGACCAGCACTACTTTCACTGCTTGTCTTATTGTGAAATGTACATTTATTTGGCAGATAATCTTACTTTAATTTTTTTCCATTTACTCTTAACATAGTAATTGATCGATTAACATCATAATTGATTCTTATAGAATGCAAATTTTAAAATTTGTATAAACACCACGAAAGAAACAGATAGAAAAATTTGTTTCATTCACTATATGTATGTATATATATAACATATTCTATTTTGGATATTTTATGAAGGTATTTTCATATGTTGTATGGCTTGAGCATACACATTTGCAACTGTCAATTTTTTTCCATAAATGCATGGAATCAGAATCCTAATTATTACAGTCTTCAAAAACTCTTCCCTGAGTAGAAATATTGTTTTGTCGATTATTATTATTCTCTCGATAAGACATACTTTAAAAATTCAATACAACAAGATAGGAGTACAATAAAATAATTCTATATATCGGCAGCCACGGATAGAGAATAAATAAATGATATTTGACATGTACTATCTTAATGCAATACACGAGAACTTGCACTGCCTGTCTAAAATGTCTAAAAATTTCACGATTTTTAAACATTTCCAAACTTTACTTACTCCGTGCATACATTGTAACGAATTACTATTTCTGTATAAATGATGTACCAATCATTATCAAACATTGTTGAGTGCCTGTTGAAGAATATTAATCATTCGAATTTAACAAGTTCGATCAGTTCGAACAATAATAAATCTAATAAACGGAGACGAGGAAATAATTAGAAAGATTAAAAAAAAAGAAAAGAAACGAGAGAAATAGACAACAGTCGGATATTAGTAAGCAAATTACGCGAAAGCGTGGTAGTTAAATACTAATGCAGCAATTGGCAGAGTGACGGTGAACGATTTTCAGGGTGTTGAAAGCGTGTCGGTGGAGAAACCGATCGAAGAAGGTTTATCGAAGACAGTTTAATCGGTCGTTAATTCTTGGTCGAATTACAGGAGAGATGAACGGCGCAAGCTGGTCAAAATTTTACGCGGCCGGTCCCCGATTGCTAATTCAATGGACGCGGCCGTGCTCCAATTGAAATTTTCCCCGGGCATAACGCGGCGATTTAAACGAAAATGATTTGCGCGGCACGCGCGTAATACGGGATAATTGCATTTCGTGCGGGCTCTTAATGGAGTTACGCCATTTTAATTATAGAATCTCGCGTCGTGTCGTGCTCACCCACGATGTGTACTTCCGCTCCCACCAGGTTTTCCAACGCGACTTTCGTCCGCTTCCGACGAAAAGGAACACCCGCCATTCGTAATTGCCACGTGGAATGACGAGAGACACGCGCGTACATTTATACTGTGGCATCGTAGGTTTAAGCCATCATTTTAGCTGCAGCTCGTTTAATTATCCCAGATGGCAGTGTTTGCCGAGTGAAGGAATGCGTGAAAGAGGAGAAGCATGAACGTGAGTTGGCGTGAGGCGTTTTTCTTTTTGAAAAAAAAAAGAAAAGAAGAGTCGATCAAGGACTGTGTCGGACATGTAGTGTCGATTGAATAGTAAAAAGAAGTTTTTTTCAAAGGAGTAGCAAAGTCTATGAGTCGATTAAGTTATTAATTTCTATTTATTACCTTGATTTAATTACCCATTGTTCAATCACCAGGATTATTATTAAATAAATATTTAATTTCTTCTATTCAATGTCTACAATACTCCAACTGCACATCTCGCGAAGATTTGCGCGAATTGCCGTGTCCTCGCGGAAATGGATTTATCGAATTTCAAACCGCGGAGGATATTTAGGTTGAAAAGCGGTAAGAAAACTGTGCCCGTGGCGCATGAGAGGGAAGTTTCGAGTCGACAATGTGGAAATCGAGGTTATAAGAAATTTATCAGGCGGCCGAGTTATAAAAGCGACAATGGAATGGAACGCCCTTTTTCTCGATTCCGGTCGATCGTACGCTTGTTTCCAAAAGGAAATTTTGATGTATTTTGATTTACGCGGAGGAATGTTTGCTTTTTCTGGTCCCGCGGAATTGCTTGTTTCACGTGCTTGAAGAACTGGAAAATACTGAAATATCTCCTGAACAGTCGTTTATTGATCTGTCGTTTTAAAAACGAAGATTCCTTACCGGAGGTAATCAGTGAAAATGCATGCAACTAAATGAATATAGATAACGTACAAATAAAGAATTGGCTCTGATCGTATGAAAAATTTACTCTCAGGTTTAACAGTCGGCGTTTTATTTATTAGCAAGTAGAAATAAATTTGCTTCCGCATTACTAGAAACATAATAGAATAGAGAATTACGACGAAAGTTGTCTGATATAACTGTTAGATTGAAATTTTGAAAACTCACGGCACAACGATTCGCACTCGAAAGCTGTACGAAACATCTGCACGCTTTTGAATTTTCGTCGAATTCATCGTTCACGTCCTAATTAATCATACCCGATAAAAACAACAATGAAATAAAATAAAATAAAATGAAATAAAATGAAGCGCAACTAATAAAATTTGTCATTGTCATGCAACAGAATTTGATTTCGAACTCTTGATTAAAAATTCGAAAATAAAACTGCGAAAATAGAACGAAGGATCTGATTAAAGAGAGAGAGAGAGAAAAAAGGGAAACGCTTCAATGGAAACCGCTGTATAACCATTACAACGAGTTTCAGACTAGTTCAGACCGAAGATAGTAGATCGATTTCGCAAGCAAGTAAGGTTCCGAATTGATTTCGTTTCCAGGTTTCCGGGCATTTGCACAACACCGGTCAGTTCCTGGTATTCAGAGCGGATCGGGAGGCCAAGGTGCGAGTCAATATAACAGGTGGCCCACTCGCCTATCACTATCAATTCGAGGAGATCTACATACACTACGGAATGGATAACGATTACGGATCGGAGCATCGCATTAATAACTACGCTTTTCCTGCCGAGGTGAGTGAAACGTTCACGAAATTCAACGCCCGATCGCGTCCCGTTTCACGAAAACAATTGCCATTGGAAATTCCCGTTCACTATCAATCTCCACCCTCGAAATGTCTCTGTCCTTGGAGATTTCAACATTCAATTTAAGTTCCTTTCTCGCTCTGTCATTTTGACATCGCTCTCGTTTAAACGTTTTTGACGATCGACTGACGATCCTTACGCGTGAGATTGAAACACGTGTTCACACGATTCTGAAAAAACATTATCATGCTCTCAAATGTTTCTCTTTTAAAAGAAATAACTCGTAGAGATTTAATTACGTATTAAATGGGGGAAATTTTTTTTAGACAAAGTTCATTAGATGGAGAAACACGATATCAAATGGTGAAAATGGGATGAAATGCTTTTTAAAATATATGCTGGACAGAAAATTATCGTTTAAATTGCGTATCCTTTTTGTACGAAAAAGAGGGGAACGTTTCATTTCTTTTTTTTTTTTTCTTTTCATAAAAATGCGAGAGGATCGTTTAACAAGCCCGTTAAAGGAGAGTCACGAGGAAGCGTAGAGAAATTTGTTAACAATTTCATAGCCGACGGTTGGAAATTTCAAAGACTTCGGGGTCGTACGCAGAATTTAATATCTGCGGTCCGGCGAAACTTGATAAAATCCGACCGTGAAATTGACAAAAGAAACGGAAAATTGAAAACAAAAAAAAGAACAAAAAAAGAGGGAAAAAGTAGAGGGTCGAGCCAGGGAAAGAGACAGAGAAACGATTTCATATCACTTAAGCCACGTAGCGAATCTAATTTCAAACAGCATCGCCGTTTTATCCCGTACGAAGCGAAATTGGCGAAATAGAGAAATAAAGGGAATTCGTTCGAAGAAAAAACTAAAATATAGATCGGTGAAATTAGAGATAGCGGATAGCATACTAACGGGAGATTATTCAACGAGTGGGAATTTTCAAAGTCGCTGAATCTTTCATCAAGATGATATTGACCATTCTCGTTAAAAACCCGTCGGAGTTTCCGGTCCTTTAATTATATATTACCGCGAGTCCTCGTTTCGATGTTGAGATTTAAATTCCCTTCGAAATCCCTCCCGTTTCTTTTCTACTTCCGTTTCGAAAGTAGTTGACAAAGTAAATTCACTTTTTCGTTTTTATCCTTTTTTTTTCTTCTTTTTTTTTTTTTAAGCAGCGACGTTCCGAAACGGAACAAACGGTAGGCAATTTTTGCCTGTCCACTGTTTTACGCTTTGCTCGCCCTCTGGTGCGTTCTTGCTTGTTTCCTAAAAATTTTGCAGTCTGACGAAAATTCGAAATTCGAGTCAACTTCTCTGAAATTATCTGCTCGAGAATCTATTCTGAAAACTACTTTGAAATTTTGAAAGATGTAATTAAGCGTACGGAAGGGCGCGCGGATAATATAAGTTCTGAGAGGGGGAATTTTTAACTAAAAAGGACGTATCATCTCTCCTGAATCAACAATACTCTAATTACGCCAGGCTGAAAGCATAACGAGAGGCTCAAAAAAAAAAAAAAGAAACGAAGCGACAACGTTGAAACGAGCTATAGATGTGTCTTTTGACGAGACTCATCAGCGAATTGTGGACAAGGTTAAGAGTATAACGAGGACTCGGCGAGAATTCGGCGGCGTAGTTAATCGAAATTAATCACGGGCCTGGCTTCGTAACGAGACAAATTAAACATTCGTTAAACGCGACGTGACGATGACCCAATTAACCGCGACCTGCTCATTCTGCCGGCGAGCGAATCCTCTCCACGTGCGACCTAGTTCTCCTCGCGTGGACGGTCAGCAGACCGCGAAAGAATATCGTCGAGTCGCGTTTGCTCGTCCTCCACGATTTTCTCGAATTTTAATTAATGTCGAAAGCAACACGTCCGCCTCCACGAATTTCGTTCCTCGCGGCGGCGAAGATACACAAGTCACTCCTCTCCTGCGGGTCACCTTAGACCGCTTCGAAATTAGGCTACGATGTTAGGAGGAGATCGTGGTACCTTGATATCTGTGGGAATTTTTCCTCTGTTTTATCGATAGGCTGCGGATTTTTATGCGTTTGTGAGCAATTTTAAGATGTAAAATAACACTGAATATCCGTATTCAAAGTGTTTCTGTGTAATACTTGGTACGTAAAACAATTATCTACAGAGTTGCTTGCATTTTTAAAAATACGAATTTATATAAAAATTTGTAATCAATTCATTGATTACGATGATTATTTTGTCTGTTGGGGAAATTGTGAATTTTTAGAGAATATTGCGTCGTCTATTTTTCGTTACGAGACAAAGTACGAATTATACAAGAAACGTCGCTCTCAATTCCTGAAAAGTGAATTGAATTAATAAAGTTGCAAACGATAACGCCACAAATTTTGATCGATCTTATTTTCGTCGATGTAAAAGTGGCGTCGGAGTGACAAGAATTAATATGAAAAATTGCAACACGCAAAGCAATTCGATTCAAGAAAAAAACAATAGACAATTTCGTTAGTGTTTGAGGTAACAGCTTGCAGCACTTTATTTGAACCGCCAATCTGTACAAAAACGAAAATACGCAAAGACCTCTGACCTTCCCCTTTTTGAAAGGAAACTTTTAGTTTCAAAAATGTCACTGCAAAAGCGAATTGTGTTGATTGATCACATAAAGGTTGTCGAAACGCGAAAAGTTAGTGAATGTGTTTTTTTGTTTTCCTTTTTTTTTTTTTTTTTTAGAGAATAAATTTGAATCGACAAAAATGAAGAAAATCTCAAACTTTCCAAACACATAAAAATCGAAAAAGGGAACGCACCTACGCTATTTTTCAAAATTGTGCAAAATCTGTATTGTTAAGAACGTGAGGAAAATAAAAAGGATTACAATTGCACTGTAACCAAAATTACCCATAACATTTTTCATTGTAGAATCCGCATCGTTGAATGTATGCTAATGTTTAAGCTATAAATAATAAACGTAAGACGTGAAATAAAATATAAAAATAAAGAAAATAGAAAAATAAAAGGGATTGCAATTACACTGTTCTTCAAAATTATCCATAACATTTTTCATTGTAGAATTCGCATCGTTAAATATATGCTAATAATTGTTTTCCGGCTTGTAGAATCCGCATCGTTAAATATATGCTAATGTTCAAGCGTAATTAATAAAAGTAAAATAAAATATAATATAAATATAAAATATGTATATATAAAATATAATATGAATATAGAATACGTATGTATAAATATCACTCAATGTCAGCGTAATGATCTGTACCCAATACATACAACTGCTAAACTATATAAACCTATGGCTCTCAAAGCTACCCATGAAACCAAGGAAGACCGAAAACAACCCAGTTTCCATTTCGACCGCTCTTTAAACCCTGGCCGGAACTCGCAACTCTTCCACTCGCCGCCCACTCACCTACTTCACTTGTCCTGCCGCGTCTGTTCCAAATTACATCTGAAAATTCCCACAGTTTCGCGTGGACGAAGCAAACGAGAGGGCCAGTCGCGGAAAGAAGCTGGCCGGAACGGGTCATAAGCCGGAAAACAATTATTTTCGAATCAACGCGGCGACGACACGGTCCGAAATCGATTCGGGGTTAATCGAGCACATAATTCAGCGGCGACGCTGCGTGTTTGCACGCAGCAAATCCGAAATCCGCACGCGAGCAGGTGCGAGCGGGACGCGGACGCAATCAGCGGCTGTGCTTGCGGCCCGTAGCCGCATCCATTTTCACCGCGTCCTTCTTTCCCGCTTTTTCCACCTCTATCCGCCGTTTTACAGCCGCCGCGTGTAACTCTCGCTGACGAATGAACTGGCGAATTCCTACCGCTGGCGCCGAATGATAAATCCTCCGCGCTGCTCGTCGCGTTGCTAGACGCGTGTATGTACGTACGTGTGCGCGTGATTGCACACACGGCTCGTTCGGATGTATCGAGACGCTTGGAGAAATGTAGGTCAGTTTTTGAGAAATTATCGAGGGAGGTGTTTAGTCGTCGGTCGAGTTCACTTATGTGACAATTTATCAATTGTGTTAGTACTATCATTCCTACAGTATACCATAGTACTATAATTATTACTATAGTACTGTAATTTCGTCGTTATTTATGATATTATTGATTAAATATTATTAATACAAATTATGATCCGTTGTATTATACGTGTATAGGTACAAATTACAGATAGACATATATGAACGTTTATGCAAATTTACTCGTTTTTATAAAAATCAATAAGAGGAGAAACTTCGACAAAAATTTAGATATTTTGAATATTTTAATTGTTTAATTCTTTAATTACTTTTATTTTTTAAATTTAATTATTGGCTATTCTTGTGCCAAACATTGCACGTTCCATGTTCCGTACATTTTGTATTTTTAAATTTTCCATAAATATAAGAATTCGCAGTCTATCATAATCTTTAAACTACTGTTTTTTAAATTTTCTAATTTTATACGGGATAAGGCAATTAATTAATTAAACTTTATAGAAGAGAATTTTCCGTGAATACATAAAAATTCACAGTCCAGTTGTAGTCTCCGTACTATTGCTTTTTTAAATTTTGTAATTTTATATAGATAAGATAGTTAATTAATTAACTTAGGTCCAATTAAACTTTATGAAAGAAAATTATAAAAATATTGATAACGATCAGAGTATGGACGATTCTTTCATAAAGCGAGTGTAAGTCAACCGCGCGTTCAGTAGTATAAATCAATCATAAATGGCTAGTCCGCTTTTGCTGACACAAATAAACGTTCCGCGATAAATTTTACAACGGTGCAGCTAAGCATATACCAATGAATCACGGTAGTCAATAAATATTGAATCATTAACAATTCCAGTGGCAAGAACCAGCCTTGCATCATTAACTATCGACAGGAGTACATATCATAACTGAATACATGGTCTGGCATAATAATTCCAACCATCTGCAGATATTCACTTACGCACGTACTTTTACATTTTCTTCAGCGTTTTTTTCCAAAATTCTTCGATGA